TTGAAAGCTTTGCATTGATGCTTTCAACAATGAAGACAAGAAACAAGCACTGATCTATATCTCCAGCAATGCTCCGAACCATCTGAAATAGTGACAAAATTTTTCCGCCGCACAGATGATTGCGTAGGACCTAAAGACATTCTTACTACCTCAAACGTTTCTCTCCTTCACATTGCAGCCAAAAACAACTGGCCAGATGTTGCCTCAACACTCATCACCAAGTACCACTGCAATCCCGAGGCAATAAATAACCGCAAAAGCACTCCACTGCACTATGCTGCTCGCTATGGAAGCATGGAAACCCTTAAATGTCTTATCATTGAGCATGACTGTGATCCAATGTCTTTCACAAGGAACGAATGGACCGCCTTACATTGGGCAGCATCTACTGGACAAGTAGACACATTACGTTACCTTATTGAGAGTTGCAATTGTGATCCCTCTCTCTGTGACACCAAAGGACACAACCTTCTTCACTTGGCTTGTGCCGGTAATCACATTGAATCTGCAAGGTACCTCTTACAGACAGGACTAATAGACCCGGCCTTTACCTGCATATGGGATTGTAAGCCCAGTGAGTGGGGTCAAAGTACATCAAATGGCAACACTGAGACAATTGAACTATTAAAGTATTACGAAGAATGTCGAATGAATTCACCTATTGATACTGTAGTGACCGAATGGAGAGAGCTTGACCTTCGTATTTTGTAAATATTGATTATTGTAAAAAGGCTAAAATCTCTTCTGACAAAAATGAAAAGAGCATACACTTATATACAAACAGTATTACATCATATTACATCACAAGGACAAAACATTACACAACAATCAGAATCAGTATACATGAACTAATAAGCATAGTAAATCATAAGCATCAACTAGAAGGGAAAGAAATAACATCGTACAGCAATGCAATAATAATAATAATTAATAATAGTAATAATAATAATTGTAATAACAATAGTAGTAATAATAATCAGAATAACAATAATACTAGAAATAACTGTAATCAAAATGCCTTAGAAAATAATAATAGGAATCAATACCAAAATAATATATCAATATATAACAGATACATATACTCAAGTTTTTGTACTTGGGAACAAAGGTGCCGAAAAGAGTACATTAGTACAAGTGCTTAAGATTTGTTTTGAGGCTAATTATGATAATTACCCTTCTGTCTCAATGTGACTAATGTTATGTTAAGCCATAGGAATAGTTCCAGAAAACCTTACAAGCTCAGAGATTTGAAACATGACTATGCTGAGTATCACTGACTTCTTGCACTCAATAATTTCAATATCTCTGATCCAATGTGAGAGACAACAGGAACCTTATGAGCATGTGCATGACAGACAAAATCGTTGAGCATGGACTCATTGAGATCAGTGAATATGGCTATAGTGGTGAGCTCTGTCCAATTGTAATAGGGCCAGTTTTCTGACCTGATCATGAATCCTAGGACCTCCTCAAACTAGTGGTATGATAATGAGATGTCATCATCAATTAAAAGCTCAACCACTTCCAGAGTCATGGACTGAGTACTTTCCTATAGTGTTATTGTACTGCTGTTAAAGAGGACTTACACAGCTAAACTAGTTTATGATACAACTGTATATGTCTCTCTGGTGAATTTTTCTCTCCTACTTATTCACTTTTGCTCTCAGAGTTCTTGTATGATTGATGTTGCTTGACTCAAGTGTTATGCATTCTCTTTCACCCACTCCAGTACATACTCCATCTATACTCATATTCCTGAGTCACTCTCTCATGTATATA